CTAGGTAAGGTAGCTACCTCGCCCAAGGCTATCTGTTGACTCCCTTGGACAATCATGAGGTGATGCCACCTACTTGAGCAAACGATCAAAAAGCATCACAAGAAGGAACGATAACCATACAAGACCTGCCGTATCTAGAAAATCAACTCATACGTATCAGCGCGCCTCTCGCTTTGCTGCTGGTGTGTCTTAATATCATGAGGCATTTGCGAGAAGTGAATAATGAGAATTGGCATCCTATGCCTGTGCTTCGATGAAGAATACGCAAACTTGTAGGCTCAACACCCCGATGAACATTCATGCATGCCGCTCATTCAAATAGATGCCGTTTGCTGAAATTCCGAAAGTGTCCCTATCTAATTATGCCTAGCAGTTTATGAATATGTGAACAAGAGCTTTAGTGAGAATGCCCCAGCTCGAACAGGAAGAGATCAAATGGCGTTGACCTGCACCTAGTGGCGAGTCCAGCACGCCATATCGATTGTCATCATGACTTGGCCTAGTTAGTCTTTTTGCCATGTCTGAGCTTGAGGCATGGCCTCTCATTGTCAGTGGCCTCGGCTGCTTCAAAGGTCAGATCATCTCCATGTCGGACACTCATAACTAGCTAGCTCAAGTGACCTGCACTAGTTTGCTATAGATCTTGGTATTGATTTCGTATCCGGCGCATCTTTTGTGGAGATGGCGCCCAAAGAGACGGTAACAGACACTGCCCGACTTCCGGAGCTGCAATCTGCATTGATCGTCACAAAGGTTGACCGAAGGGATGGCCAAAGTTGCTGTTGTTAGAAGCATAGTAGCATAGGTAGTCGCGACAAGAAGTGGTCACCTCTTCAGGCGAATGAAAGACAACTGGAGCCGCGCTCAACCACTTGGCACGTGGCTCGGGGAAGTCTGTCAGAATGGAACCCTCCTTGCATTGACTTTGGGGTCTTCAAGATTTGGCGACCCGAGGCTCTGGTTCGGAGGATGGTGGTACCGAGGAGGTTACTTAGAGGTAACCACTTTGACGCCGACGAATGGTAGCCTTCAATGATATGTCTATCGCTTATGAGTCGATTTGGCGTTTCTCAACGTTATCCGTCCAAATTGTAGTAAAGAACGAATGCGTGGGATAGAATGGGACTAAGAAACTAGATGAATACGAGAGAACTACGCACCAAGCGTAGACAGTACAAGCGACGTCGGAAGTAACTAGCCTCAAGCTGCAGCAATAGGCTCATTACGAAGACATAGTTCAGTCTATGGAAGGGTCTGGCCGGGTTCCTGTGAAGTCGCGTGTCGAAGAAGTCGACTATGGCTTGCATGTCTTTGAGGATTCGGATATGCTCCTCTAAGATTCGGTATAAGACGTTTTACCAGCTGCAATGTTGACAGCCCCACGTGCCACATTCTGACTTTTGATTCTGCAGTCCGGGGTGGCCATGCCATGGTCCCAGGAGGTTGGCGGATGTGTGTGTATGTGTGTGGCTTGCTTTAGGCCCAAATTGGTTCCCGGGGTGGTGTGGACGATGCGTGCCAATCAGGGACGTTTGCGCAAATGGCATTTGTTTAGTTTCATTTGATCTTTCTCGGGAGCCATTGCGAGCTGTTCGTTTAGACTTTTTTATATTGATATGACCATGGGGGTATACTGTCTCTGGAAAACAGACGGACGGTGATGAAAGAGAGCAATTGTAGGTAGTCATATCTGTGATCACTCCTCTCTCACCTGAATGTTTCCATCTTCGATTGCCTCACTCTTAGTGGTACGATGGACTACAATGGATCACAATGGCAGCGAGGAGTATGGACTGATGGAGGACTCAGAGGTGAAGGGAGAGAGCAGAGGCAGCCTATGTGCCTGGGTGGTACTCTGTAATATCGTAGGTGCTACCCTGACCTTGCCGGGCAACTCGTGATGGAGTACTAGTGACGGAGCGTTGGTGACGGAGTGTTGGTGCAGCTGCAGCATCGGCCAGAAAAAGCTTGACTTTGGAGAGGAGAAGTTGAATATCGAGTGGCGCAGAGCGGGGAAGCAGGGAAAACATCTGGGGAAGTGGCACTAAAACCCCGCACCTCAATTTCCCCGGCAAACTTGAACCGTTCGCAGCACCGGCACCAGCACCACTGTACCTTTTGAGACCAGGAAGCCATCTGCACCGTAGAGTGGTCCGTAGAGTGAGGGCTGCAGAATACCCAACGCCTCTTAGAAGCATAGGTAGCCCTGCTGCGTGCACTCGGGACATCGGGATAATGCGCACGCGCACCAATGAAACACGCATAAACGCCTTCCCGGCACCGAGCCGTCCCCTGTTTCTCCATTCTCCCCCAAATCCTCTCCCCAACCCCCGGCATCTCTCTCTGCGCCTCTCCCCCAAGTTTCCCAACTTCCCAACGTCGTCATCGCGTCCGGTCCGGCAAGCAAACCCCGGACTTTGTCTTCTGTTCCTCATTGCTGTTGGAAGACCAATCCAACCCACCAATCCCAGAAGGAACTTTTGGCCTATTGTCCTTACCCGGCCCTGTTCCTGAAGGCTACCCAAGCATCCAAGGCAGCCAACCACGCGCCAATTGTACCCCGCTCGTCCCATTGGAGAGGGTATCATCGGGGCCATTCTCAACCTCATCGTTGGGCAGCCTCGCCCTGCCTTGCTTGCTTGTCCAGAGCTGGCTCCCCTGCACCGCACTTCATGAGCAATTGGATTACCTAGCACACCTAGCTAGCTACCTTACACGGATACGCCTACCTTGGGACTTGCTCCGCACGCTCATACCCCGGCTTCCTGCATCTCGGCTCGCCCAAAGTTACTTGCCATTGACCGCGAAGGAAAAGCTTTCTCACGCTACGACTAGCTAGCTAGTCAGTCATTAGCTCGCTCCAGCTTGTTTTTGTTTGTCCTCGTCTTCTTACCGGGGGCCAACACCACCTAAGCACCAAGCACCGGACAAGCGAAAGGATTCCACCACATGTTCGTCTAGACGCTCCAGTAACATCATGTCGTCGCATCCAATCCGTTGATCGGCCCTTGCTACTGCTTCTTTCTGCCCTCGCCTTTCTCTTCTTCCCACGCGTCCGGAATACGGTGTACCTCTCCCCGACCCGTCATCCCCCTCCCCAGAGTAGAGTGGAGCTGGTTCTCTGCACTCTGCGGCCCTGCTCTGGAGTCTGCCCTCCTCGAGCTGCATAACGTAGCTTCGTTGGTCCGATGATCAGAATCGTCCCATTCTTACTGCCATGTGCAAGTCTCTCCGCTCCTCCCGCACGAGGGGAGCACCATTGGGATATAAGCTCCCGCTTCATCCCACCTTCCCCTCTCACAGGCTGTGCTGTCCGTCCTCCCGTCATCATCCTCTGTTCTGGCCCGCGGTCCTCTGTGCTTCAATCCTTTGTTACCTTGCCTGGCACACCTACACGATGCGCTCAACACTTCTTCCCGTCGCCGTCGGAGCTTTGCTCGCTCCGGCCACCTCTCTGGCCCAGTTCGTTGGCGGATCCGGTGGTAACACCACGGCTCCCTCGTCACTGGGTCCCGACAAGGATGGCAAATACTGGATCTCCAGCGAGCACATCAAGGCCGCCTTCATTCCCTACGGTGCCTCCGTCTCCGACTTCATCATCAACGACAAGTACGGCATCCCCCGCGACATTGTTGCTGGCTGGGACAACGCCACCTACTACGAGACGGATCGCCAGCACCCCCATTTCGGCGGTGTCCCTGGTCGCTACGCGAACCGTATCAAGAACGGCACCTTTGAGATCGACGGCGAGAAATACCAGATCGACCTCAACGACAACAATGGCCTCGACACCCTTCACGGAGGCTCTGACGGCTGGGACTGGCGCAACTTCACCATTGTCTCCCACACCAACAACAGCATCACCTTCTCCTTCACCGATCCTGACGGAAAGGAGGGTTTCCCCGGCGAAGTTGTGTCGCTGATCACCTATACCCTAAACGGCTGGAATTGGGATTTCAAGATGATCGCTGTCCCGACCACCAAGAAGACGCCCATCATGCTCAGCTCTCACACCTACTGGAACCTCGACGGCTTCTCCAACAACGAGACCAGCTTGGCTCTCAACCACACCCTTCACATGCCGTACAATGGCCAGAGAGTGGGCGTTGACAACATCCTCATTCCCACCGGCGAGATCCTCGCCAACGAGAAGGGCTCCGTCAACGACTTCTGGAGCGCGCCCAAGCAGATTGGTGCCGACTTCTCCAGCCCTGATCTCAAGAACAACTGCGGTTTCAACTGCACTGGCTATGGTAAGTTCCGATCAGTTTCCACCGCGCACCGCAACCAAAGCTTACCATGACACAGACAACTGCTGGATCGTCAACCGCAACGACCTGGGTCCCTACAACTGGCGTACTGAGGGCTACGTCGCCCGCATGCAGTCCGAGTGGTCCGGTATCCAGCTCGAGGTCTTCACGGACCAGGACGCCTTCCAGATGTACAGCTGCAGCCAGCAGAACGGCTCCGTGGCCCTCAAGAAGAACCAGGGTCTCTTTGACAACGAAAAGTTCCCCCGCATCATCCCCAAGTACGGCTGCGTCGTGCTCGAGGTCCAGGACTGGATCGACGGCATCAACAACCCTGCCTGGGGCCGCACCAAGAAGCAGATCTACGAGCCCGGCGGTGACCCGTACGTTCTCCAGGCCAGCTACCGCTTCAGCATCAACTCTACTTCCAGTTCGTAGGAGAACTGTTGAGTGAGTTTGGGTTTGCTAGTGGCGAGGTGCTGGTAAAGAGGAGGGAATGCGTGAAGAAAGCAAGATGTTTCTATTCACCTTCACATATTTAATGATACCATGAAGAGGGATATTTAGCATGAATGGCGGAGCATCCGTCTGGATTAATGAACTTTGTCGTAATCTGCCTGACCGACCCCATATTGTCTGTGATGCTTAGCAGCAGGTCTTCCTATACCTCAGTGACCTTGTGCATTACCACGAGACTGAATGTTATTCTTCATACCGCTGGCAAATTAAGATTACTAACCAGACCAATCATCAATACCACTCGTCACCTCCATACTCCCCATCCAGCTTCCCCTCCCCCTCCAACAGCCCCAACTTCTCTCTAACCCTTGCGACCATGGCTTTGCCGTACTCGGGCCCCGGAGGCGGCGCGGCTTTACTCCCGTCATGCCTAAGCCACGGGATCTTCCTCGACGCAGTCCCTTGCTCAGCGACGGCTTTCTGGAGCATCTTTATCGCCTCCTCGTCGAATGCGCCGCCTAGGACCACGGCGCACGGGGAGGAGGCGTAGTTCCCGCTGCCGATTGTGCTCGTGTCCGGGTGCTGCGGTGGCGGTGTGGTGGTTTTGGACGTCAAAAGGGCTGGAATGATGACGGCTCCGGAGGCGGAAGATGTGATGAAGTGGATGACTGTTTTTTGGGGGGGTTTGTGAGCTCACTTTCTTCAAGACTCTCATCACATCGGTCTCTCATAACGCGGTCTTTCTTTACATCTGCCCAATTCCGGCTTTGGAATGCGTGTGTGGTTGAGACGTTGAAACTAGGGCCACGAGGGGGGCAGTCTTGGAGAACTCACCTTCATAATCCGGCTTAGGCCCTCAATCACCCCGCGACCAATCTCTTCTGTCTTACCGCATAGAATGATTGGTATCGGACCCGAGGATTCCCCGGGCTCATGTCCAGCTGTTTTGGGCACGTTCTTGTTGTCAAGCATCTCGCGCAAGGAAGAGGGCTGCTGACGCCGCTCTTCGTCTGATTGGTTTAGGGCGTCTTGTTTCGCCTTGTGAGACCAGAGCTGCATAGTTGCGGGAAAGAAAGAAGAAGAAAGTCGGTTTTCTGGAATGGGGTATAGAAGATTTGGGGGTGTGTGGGTGAATGAGAGCGGCTTAGAGATGTGGTCTCAGGTTTATTGGAGGCTTGAATTGATGTGTGAGGTTTTGCTTCTCGTGGTTATGTTGTCTCACGTCAGACTTTGGGGTAGGTACTTTTGGTTGTCTGATGCCTAGTTGACCGTCGGATCCGGATCCGGGGGCTAGTGAACGCCGACGTCATTTGGCGAGTAGTGTCCTTTTGGACGGAAGTTTAGACAAGGAAAGAATTCGAGATGGTCCATGCTATCGTGATAATAATTCATCACTGAGGTATTTTGCCGTTGGATGTAAGATGACTTTGCGACGACCCAATTTCCACGTCTCAATCACGGTTCTGGAGCTCATTGTTTGCAATTGAATGACTGAGTATCAATGTCATGAACACTCAATGACATATATGCATTGGACAATTTTGTGTCTTTTGTAATGATTATGTACTTTAATTGTCTTGATATCGTGAAAAAGAGAGTGAACTGATACGCTAGCAGACTTTTGCATCAAAGTGGATAGAAGCTTCAACTGCCGCACCATCACGGACCATAAAGTGTTTCCTATATACCACGGGCTCAATGATGGGTTCAGTTGGCAAGGCCGTTCTGTGCAAGGAAGTCTTGGATCTTGCTCGTAACCTCGACGTGAGAGTAGCTCTATAACAATGAGTATTAGCAACGTCCTTGAAGTTATATCTCACACAAAGGAGTATGACTCACGAATGCCAAACCATGTCCAGCGTCAGGAACAACGTAAGCCTCGAAAGTGCTTGCGTTGTTGATCAGCGGCGCAACGCCAGCCGGGATCGAGGGCAGCTTGGGGTTGCCGGTTGCAAGGCAATCACCACCGCAGAAGGGAACGTCGCGTTCTGTGAAACCATCCAATCGTCAGCTTACAATACCCTCCCATATCAAACCTGGGTATATCCAGCAATGCTGAGAAACTTACCACCCGTAATAACGAGCACAGGCTTCATGAACCCGCTCGTCGTGCCCGCCTCGCCACCAATCGTAAGCAGCTCGCCCACAGTCACCGGCTTGCCCGTCTTATACGCCGCCGTCAAGATGGCAGGATCAAAGTTATCCGGCGCGAAGAAGTTGATATGCGCACCGCCCTCGTACGCAGGCGCCAAATACCCATCAACGTAGTCCGCCAGCGCGGGGACCTGGTTCGCCTGAATAAACGCGCCGCCCAGCAAGAAATCCGGGAGGAATGTGGCGTTGGCGGAGAATCCCGTCAACACGAGACCGTCCGAGGCGTCTGGGTACATGGCGGACAGCGCGTACGAGTGCACGGAGCCGAACGAGTGGCCTACGTGGACGTATTTTGAAAAAGTGCAGGGCACGCCCGGGACAGCGCCGGCGCGGAGCTTGTCGGTGAGGGCTTTGAGGGCGGCGAGCTCGAGGAAGCCCTGGATCTCGTTGACAGGTTCGCCACGGGAGGACTGGGCGATGCCGAGGCGGTCCCAGGCGAAGGTGGAGTAGCCGTAGTCGTCGACGGCGGGGCCGACGTAGCTGTAGTTGTAGTTATTGGCGGGGAAATCCCAGTAGCTCCTGTCGAAGCCGATGCCGTGGGTGAGAATCTGGAGGACGGCGCCTGGGCCCGAGTCTGGTTGGCAGTAGGTTGAGGCGAGGTGGTATGTGCCTCCGACGGTGGCGTACTGGATGAACATGGGATGTCAGTCGTTGTTCAATGTATTTGGCAGTTTTTGACTTGTGGATGATGGGAGTCCTTACATCTGTGAGATGGGTTGCGGAAAAGTTGTTGCTCTGCTGTGCTAGACCTAGCATGATATTCGTGACATCAAGGTTTGTCTTTGGTGTTGAGACATTGAAGACCCCGTTCCGTGATGTGATTGAGACTTCGACTGTGAGATTTTGACACACTCGGGCCGCAGCAAGGGCTGCAAAAGCAACCGGGAGGGTTGCTGAAATTAGGTTGACCATGTTGACGTTTGAGATTTGAACGTTGAGAGGCTCTGTATGTGAGGGCGTCTAAGATCGGGTTGTCTTGGATCATGTCTAACAGCAAACGATGTGGACCAAGCCAGGCTGTTATACTTATACGAAATAACCAGACGCCATCATCTTTCCGACACCGCAACGGGGGTCGTGATTATACGGGTGGGAAATCCTCATTTGCTCGCCCGCATGCCCGCCCACCCGGCAAGGTAGCCTCAACCATGACCAGCGCCCATTCATCCACCTGGCACCTGCAGCCCATGATGTCAGCAAAGTAATTGTAATTCATACAGTCTAGAAACTCACTAGCGAGCCGTCCACGCATCAGAAAGTGGCGTTCAGAGCACGCATAGCCGCCCAAGCAAAGCCAACTAAACCAAGCATAAGTAAGCCTACCGAAGCGAGTTTGCGCGAGACCACCCCCGATCTTTCCAGTCTTTTCTTTGGGACCTTCCGGGGCTAGTCCGGCATGCGGAACTAAGGAAAGAGACGCAATGGAATAGCGTGGATTGTGATGTGTAAATGTACCTCCCCCGACGGTTGCTCATCCCAACGCCGGCGCAACGGAGTTCGTTGCATCCCAGGGCCGGAGCCCAGTCCGGCTCACCGCTAGGCCCCATGCAACGTTTCCGAAAGGGTAGTAGAGCAAGGTCCAAAAGAGACCTGCAGTCAATAAGGGCTTGGATTGCCCCCCAATCATGTTTGCCGCCGATCTCAATTGAGTTGTTGGAGTGTGAAAGAAGAGCCCCAGTCCCGACTCCCAACTCGTTCTAGGTTCGTCTTAGCGGCAGCCCCAACCGAACGCCATCGATGTCAAGACATTGCGATCCCCCGCCCCGTATTTGCCGGTCCTATTCTCCACATGAGCTTACGCCAGTTCGAACCAAACAACACAAACAATTGCCAATGGGGACGAGGACGAGAGAAAGGAGCAGAAGCTTATGCAGAAGCTTCAGTCATCAGTCTTTTTCGCCCGGGGTGTCGTTTTCTCGAGGTTGGAGAGTATTTGTCAGTCACGACAGACTACTGTTGGAATCAAATAGTGTAATGTATGTCTGATGCCCACCATCCACGTTTGCCATCCACCGCCTATGCCCCCCCCTTCCAGCCTCCTCCCCTCTCTCCATCTCGGTCAAAGGAAAACGATGATAAGCGCTCATGGTGTGCCATGCAAGCAACTGTAGGTAGGTAGGTAGGTAGGTATTTGGAAAACCCATAGTGCCGAATTTTCCGCCACGGCGCCACCACCGAGCGATCTAGCTTCTTGGAGCGGGAACGGCTGCTAAGGAGGATGGCACATCCGGGGTACCAAGGCAGATTCGAAATCCTATCATCGAAATGGAATACCTACCTTGGGTCGATAAGATGTGACAGCCCATCACCGTGACGTGATGACATTGAAGAAAGGTGACGAGTCTAGACACTTTCTCTCACAACCACAATCTTTTATCAGGGGCCATGGCTGATTCAGCGGACGGCTCGGATACAATCTCACAAGTGAGGTCGCCGCTTGCGTACACGTCGACGAATAAGAGTCTGGTGTGCCATCCGAGAGAAGCCCGAGACATGCATCGTTCGCGTACCGTGATGGGCTGCCAGCAGTCGCTTACTCATAATATTCTCTCACTCACTTATCTCCCTCTCTGGGAAGGTTAGCCCGTGAAAACCCTGATGTACTGGCAAACGATTTGTATTTGACGACTTTTCACTAAGTCTCCCGTTTGAAGACGAGAGGCTCTGAGCGAACGTATCTCGCTGCCTGTCTCCGAAGCCAATATGGAAAGGAGTCCTTCCATCCTTTCTCCTGGATATGTAGGCTGGGTCGTTTGGCATCTTCGTGGCCCCAACTGCTTTGGCCCGTTTTTCACCCCCTGAAAGATACTGCTAGATATGCAGACCGACCGCCCTTTCCGATCCATGCTGTCTGCGTAACGCCATGCTAATAAAAATACACAACTTCTTTTGCCTTGGAGTCTTCGGTGCCCTTCTTCTATTTGGGCTCCGATGTGTCCAGCTTATCGTAAGCCGCCTGCATGGCCCTCAGTTCGATTTCGTCACCCTCCAGGGCTGCCACCCAATCTCGTACTTGAATATTTTTGCCCTTTTCCTTATCCTCGCGCCAGTTCCCAAGTCGTGCGCGGCCCTCGACGGTAAGCGCGTGGTTGGCGGGAGCAGGAGGACCCGAAGCAGCTGCGGCACCCGCCTTTCCGGGCGTGCCAAGTCTCGGCGTGCTGGCTCCACTGCCGCCTGTCATCCAAGAGTATGACTTGCCACCTTTCTTCTTTCCGAAAAGCGATCCTGTCTTGGGCATGCCGACAAACATGCTACTCGTGATGTTCTGATTTGCATGGCTGCTAGCCTCTGCCTTCTTCACAGCATCAAGTTTCTTCTGTTCCTTCTTCGAGATGGCCTTCTCCGAATCAGGTGCCGAGCCGCCAGGAGTCCCAGGCGCGACGGAACCGGCACGAGATGGCGTCGATGCGACCTCTGCGGTCCCGTCCTTTCGGGCGTTGCGCTTCCGTAGTCGTCTCTCCTCCCAGTCTCTCTCAGCCTTGCCTACTTCGCGGACTGTGTGACTCATGGTATTCGTAGCAGCGATCTTCTGAACCTTGCTTGCCTGGCTGGAACTAGAATCTTCGAGAGGGCCTGAGTAAGAGTCAGCATGTTACATTTAAACAGGAAACACGTATACGAACGTTTCTGGGCGCTGGGGCGAGGACTGGCGCCGTTTTCAGTCGCACTCTGCTGTGTTCCATCTTCTGTTTGAGTCTCCGGTGCGCTTTTGAGCGGTGCCGCAGCCACTTGCCATTCCTCTGGGACTTCACCATGGGACGAAGTCTGACGATTTTTCGCAATCCGGTGAGAATCCTCTATGAGCGTTCTGAGCCGCTGTTTAGTAGCCAGCGACAACAGTGCCAACTGGTCGACCAAGAAAGCCTCTTGAGGTATCCAGGTTCCTGTCGTTGTCACCATAGTAGAGTCTGGTCCTTTCTTGGTGGTTGCCGTCACAGTAGGCGTGGGAAACTCCTCAGGCAGACGCATCCGCCCCATAGGCTGGTTGCTATTCTTAACCTCCAGGTTGAGCAACAGGCCTTGATCTCTCGCAAACTTCTCTGCTTTTCGGTAGACAACGGGAACTTGCAAGAAAGCGTTGTTCAACTCCATGGTCCTGGTCTGAGCCAGGCGCTTTGCGGATTCCTGCCATGCTTTCTCCGCCGCCTGTGCTACCAACTGGTTTTGAGTATCGGTGCCGGCAGGCTGAGCAGGCTGATTCGCAGGGCCCGCGCCGTAGAAGCTTCCCTTGTTGCCTTGAGGGTAAGGAGCGAAGCCGGTTCTCGATTCCGGAACGTACAGTTCGGACAGAAACTGCTCTTCAGCTCGTAGATCGATGCCCGTGCCTGCCAGCGAATCCGTGACGTCGTACTCGTACTCTTTCTGTGGTCGATCGGGAGGTCTTGAGGGCGGACCCATCGCGCCGGGAGTCGAAGGCTGTTGCATGATGGGCGTGCCAGGTGTGTTATTGGTGCCGAGGGCCAGAGTTGCTGTGGTGTATTGCGGTAAAGTAGGCGGCGCCGGTGGCTGCGGGGTTGATACCTGCGGTGGAGGTGTCGGAGCCGATGGTAGAGCAAGAGCTGGGGTGGTGTTGCCGTTTGTGTGTTGGTAAGGTCCCGTGTAGGTCGGGGTCGCAGCTTGCTGCTGCTGCTGCTGGGCGTTTGAATAGATGGGAGACGCAGCAGACGTCGCGGCCGTGGAAGGAGTGACTGGCGCGCCTGGGCTTGGTGCATAAGGTGAAGTTGAATATGGCGATTCGGGTTGGGGAGTTGCTCCAGGGGAAAGTCGCGGTCTTTTATTAGGCGGAGGCGCAAAGCCGGCTTGCGTCGCAGCGGGAGAAGGTGTAGGTTGAGGAGGCGAGAATGCCCTCTGTGGCATCTGAGGCTGGGGTTGCGCCATCTTCACAGCTGTTATTACAAATAGTAGAGATAGGTTGCGATCGAATCGAGAGGTTGGTCAGAAGTCGCTCGCTCTGGTGAAGCTCAGCAAGCTGGACAGCCTGAGCAATCCTCACGCGACTCTGCCCATCTGACGTGCAGGTCTAGTCGGCCAAATAACAAACTTTCCCGATCGCGTCGGACTCGCAGGAATATTGTTTCGGTGACAGCTTGATGTTCGCGCGTGCGTATTGCTCTGTCGTGTTCGTCGTCTGGTGATGGTCGGAGTAACGGGTTACTGGGTATGTGGAAGCAGGAGCTGTCGCTAGAAAGAATTGAGGACCGCGTTCATTTAAAGTCACGTGATAGCGCAGCCTTGTCCCCACCCAAGCGCAACACAGTCCAAGCGTTCAGGCTGAAGCTTGGTAGCGGACCAGACAGCTGCCGCCAACTTTTACGCGACCCTTTTGGCTCTGCGCGTAGCCCGCTGACCTCCTGCCACTTGCAACTCAACTTCTCTGCTCCGGCTTGTGGCAGTATCGTCACCGCCTCATCGACGACCCATCTCGCGCCGATTCATTTGCTACAGATGATCTGATCGAAAACTAACCGCCACCTATCGGTGCGATTTTTGCGATTACAGACCGATCGACTGTTTGCGACTTGCGACACTTGCAACCATGGCATCGAAGAGAAAGGCTTCGGCCATGGCCGCCACCGTCTCCGAGGAACCGGTCGACCCTGCCGACGAGCTGATGTTTCTCTGTCTTGGAGGCGGCAACGAAGTCGGCAGGTCATGTCACATCATCCAATACAAGGGCAAGACAGTAATGGTATGGGCTGAACCTCCCTTCGTCAATTGAACAGGCAGATACTAACTACCGTTCCCATAGCTCGATGCTGGCCAACACCCAGCATACGATGGCCTTGCGGCGCTGCCTTTCTTCGATGACTTCGACCTTAGTACCGTCGATGTACTTCTAATCAGCCAGTAAGCCCCCCTCCTCCTCCCATATGCTGTTGGATCACAGGGCAAGGCGGTGAATGAACTTGGAAATCAAAACCTGGGATCATGCCCCTGGCTCAGGGACAGCGAGTGCCTCTCGGCGACTCTGACACCTGATGGAGCCTCTTGCTACGCCTCTTATGCTATTTCATTCTTGTACACAGAAACAATACAAAAGACTTCTTTCTTCCCACCTGCCTTGCCTTGCCGTCCTCGTTGTTGTGATAGCTCTTGGCGTTGTCGCCCTAGAGAATTTGGTGTTGTATGACACTTTGGTGTTGAACATGCTAATAAGTGGCAGTTTCCACGTCGATCATGCGGCTTCATTGCCATATGTCTTATCAAAGACTAACTTCAGAGGCCGGGTCTTCATGACCCATCCCACAAAGGCCATTTACAAGTGGCTCATTC